TAGAATAAACCTTAAATCCTCAAATCTCTGAAACATTTTACTTACTGTGTTTCCCTACTTTTTAAAAACAGCATCTTTGGGACCATAATGGTAAAAATCTATGTCTCTCTTCTAAATGGATTCATATGCTATGAATTTTCAAAGCAATTTTCCTATTTTCAAGCTCAGAGGAGAGGACCTTAAAGTACACCTTTTCCTATTTCTTTTCTGAAATATATCTTATTTGATGGAAAGTGCACAGGATTTGGATTCAAATGAACCTAAATTCAAAATCTTATTTAGTCACTTACTAAATGAATAACACCAACAAGTCACTGAATTATTAGGATTATTTACTTTTCTATAAAATGGGGGTAATAATAATGGGAAAACCCACTGATTATAAACATTACCTTGTAAGAAGGATGCATTGAATTGTTTCACCGTGTGCATATCTAGATGAGTCTGGATATTCAGAGGCAAACCAAGGCTCATATAAAGGGTGGAGCCAGGACTGAAACATTATGCATAATTGATTCCGAAGTCATATTGTGAAGAGGGATGATTCTACAAGGTAAGGAAAAGATTACAAAGAGTGGAATCATTGAGTAACTTTCTTGTATGGAGTGTGAATTGGCTAAGGGGAAGAATATCAGGTGCTATGAGATATTTGGTGTCAATTTGGTGTAATGCTGCAAAAAAATCCTTTCTTTCCTTTCAGAAAAAAATTAGTCCATGTAAGAATGTCTCAGGTCAATATAGAGTATGCAAACTGAAGTAGAAGCTAGGTTTCACACCTGAATGGATGCTGTGTGAAATATAAAGATAGCACAAGCAACATGGCAAGGTGATAAGAAATCTTCTTATTCTGAACTACGAAATGAACAAATTCAGCAAAAAGTAGGTACGCAAAACCAAAGTCATTGTGAGAGTATAAATCGCCTCCTGACTCCCCTCTATTCAGGGTCCCTTTTGTAGCAAGGTCCCTGCTAACATCTAGACTAACAAAAGCAAACTATCAAATATAGTGTCTGATATATCACAGACACCCACTAAATTGTGTAGTAAATGAAAATATAAGCAGTCATTCATAAATAAGCAGAACTGGGTATTGATATCATATCTATACATATTCCTGTTAAATACATTTCTAGAGGAAATAATCTATAGTATAGGTATGTGAAGAATGTCCTTAATGCCCAAAGCTGTTTCCTAAATATCATTTTTAAAGGTATTTAGATTAATGCTAATGAAATCATTAGCTAAACTGTTTCTCCATTATCACAGGCACAGTAGAAACCTCTCTTAGATGGGTACCTGACCAGTAACTATAAAATAACAGAAATAAACTAAAGATGCTAATGAAAGCTTCCATTTTGGAGCTTAATCCTGGATTCAATTAACTTATTTTTCCAGCACAAATATATTCCCTTCTATTTTGTTACTTGCATTGTAAATAAATGATAAACTGATGACGAACAGAGGACATTTATGATCTTTAGATCACCTAGCACAACATGTAATATGGCAGATAAGAAAACTGGTGCACAAAGAGAAGAAATGTCCTGATCAAAATATAAATTGCTTAGTTTCAGCCCCATTGAAACTTAGAGTTAAGTTGAGGCAGCTATCTGTGGCTTGCAGATGGAAGCTCCTACTACAACTTGTGTATATATAGTTTTTATAGACTTTCCATGTGTTCCTTTTTAATATTTTATATATTATTTTTATTTTATGTGTATGAGTGTTTTTCTTGCATGTATGTAAGTGCACCAATGTTGTGTAATGATGGCAGAGGTCAGATGAGGGCATTGGATCTCCTGGAACGGGAGTTACAGCCAGTTGTTAGCTGCCATGTGGGTGCTGAAAAAGTATTTGAGAGGCTGAAGAGATGGCTCAGCGGTTAAGAGCACTGGCTGCTCTTGCAGAGGACCAGAGCTCGATTCCCAGTACCCACATAGCACACAGTGTTCACAAAGGTCATAACTGCAGTTTTAGGGAATTTGATGCCGTCTTCTGGTCTCTGCGGGCACCGCATTCATGTGGTGTACTTCACGTAAAATAAAAATAGATATTAAAATACAGTCTTCTTTTGAGACAAGGTCTTGCTCTGTAGCCCAGCTGACCTCAAACACCCAAACCTGCTACCTCATCCTCCAGGAGTGCTGAAATTGCAAACATGTGCTACCATGCCTGGCTTTATTTTATTTATTTTATTTTTGTCCAGTCATATTACTGAATACTTATTAGTGTGAAATTTTAAAACAATAGCCAGCAACATTTCCACTTAAATACAGATAATTTGTAAGTTTAAAGACAAAATGTTACTGTTACATTTTAAGTGTACCATGATGGCTCCCATTCATTTTTATTATCAGTTGTGTGGGAGTGCTGCTCCAACAATGCACAGAGCTGCCAGGCAAGGTGTGACACAGTGGCAGTCCTGAAATGGGGTGCTGAGAGGCCATTGTGTGAAGCTCTGAAGGTAAAGACTAAGTCATATTGTAGACCCAGGATGTTGCTGATACCAGAACCATGGGACATCTACTTGGGACAGTTGAATCCACATAGCAGAACTGATCCAAGAGGGAGGGTGTTTTTGCTGCTGACAGGAGAACTGGAGGGCAGTGCTACCCAAGACATGTGGAGCCCAGATGATTCCAAATGATGTCCTAGATGCCAGGCATGGAGCTGCAGAATTTAGTGTCTGCTCTGCAAACTTGTGCTACCATGCCTGGTAAAAAATTTTTCTTTTAATCTTCACCAGCTCTTTTTAATCCTCATGATAACTCCCTGAAGAAGTAATATCGCCACTTAAAGATGAACAAATGGAAGCTTAGGAAAGTAAAATCACTATCTAAAAGGGCCTCAAAATAATGGAGCCATTACTAGAACTTGATCTTCATATTCCTAGAGTCTATTCCAATGACACAATCACTGATTCAGCTGTCTTCTGATATTTTCCAGTTCTTTGATCATATGGTCTGCCAAACCTTCAATGAACAACTAGGACCCACAGCTCCCAGGCCGTGGCTTAAATTTCCAAACCTCAACATTCTCTTATCATACTCAGACAATGAGAAGGAAAAAAAAAGCAATATGAAAGGAACAGAGCAAACAAGAGAAAGTAATGTAGCATACCCCAAAATATGTCTTTGCTAATCACTTTTTTCTTTATCTCTAAATCATCTTTGATTAAGGTTTAAGCAACAAGCTCTAAAACCAATTTGGATAGATGTCATCATAAAGAAGTGATACTTTTCTAGCGTATTTACTTGATTAAGTGTATATACTCTGAGACATGAGGGCAAGCTGGCTGACTCCTGTCACCCCATTAATCACCAGGGTCGATTTGGCTAATCTGTCTTAGGTGGGTGTCCCTTTCTAACCTCACCACTCTATGTGTGTCCCTCCTGAAGCTTTGTGCTTGATGGAAGAGGATGACTGTCTCCTGCGGAGGAGAACCAGTATTTGATGAAGTATATATGAGTAGCTGTACTCCCCTGCTACAACCTCCAATCAAGCTCTCAAGTCTATAGGCTCTGATTTCTCATGCCAGATGTTCAGTTCAATACATTATCAATGCCTGAGTCGCCAATGCTATTTCTTAATTTATTAGTAATCAATGCCAAATAAATAACTTTCTTCCATTGCAGCAAAGATTGTAAAACAAATTAATTTGAGTTTCAGGCTCAAAGGTAAAGTTTTATTCATGGCTGAATCTATTTTCAAGAAAAAGAAAGAGTTGGTATTAAAATCAATGCTAAAAGCAGGTAATGAGGGATTCTTGCTCGCTCGCTTGCTCTCTCTCGTTCTCGCTCTTACTCTATGTCTCTCTTTCTCAGTCTCTGTCTGCATATATATGAATGTATTCAAATATAAAATTCCAATTTTTTAAACAATAATTTGTACTCTATTTCATAAAAATGAGAACTTTATGGAGCTCTCAGACTTCATCAGAGATGTTTCTTTGTGCAGTGGATTGTGGTTAATGCAGAAATTCACAACCAGTCAAAGTGTGCAGAATAAGTGTCAGTAGAGTGCTTATCCACAAATGGGGCATCTGTAGCACACACACGCTCCCTGAAAGAGTGTAAGAGTCAGAAGTCAAGGAGGACTTGTGCAAAACAATGTCTTTTAGACATGACAGGACCATTGCACTCATGAAATCACAGATGCTATCATTGCTGGTGTATGACCTGCATACGGTCAAGCCCGTCAACATTGCAGTGTGGAGGACAGAAAGGCTCATGAGCTACCACCACTAGCTGTAGCTGAGAAGCTATGGACAGTTGATGGCTTCTGGGAAAGGAAGAGTCAGTTTTCTTTAAAGGTTTGTCCCCTGGTGGGTCAACCATGCTCCAGTGGATGGCCATACAACCAGGAGTATATGGGTATCAAAAACTGGAGTCAGGACTCAGTGTACTATAAAAAATTTCAATAATCTGAATGATCCAGCCTCATATCAGGTAAATGGGATATTTTAAAGTTGATTAAATTGTGTGTATGTGTTCATGTGTCTTCCCATTTGTGGGGGAATACAAATATGCATGTGCACGTGCATGTGAAAGCCAGAGGTCGAAGTCAGGTGTCTCTTTAATTGCTCTCCACCTTACTTTTTGAGACCAAGTCTCTCACTGAACCTGCAGCTGACTGAATCAACCATACTGGTTGGCCAGTAAACCTCAAGGAGCCTCCTGTCTCCACTTCCCCAATAATGGGATTACAGTCACATACCACGGTGCCTATCCTTGATGTGGGTGGTGGGGATCAAACTCAGATCCTTCTGTTTGCATAAGCACTTTACCAACTGAGTCATCTCCTCAGCCTCAGATTTTGACGTTTTGTTAACTTTAGTTTTGAATGGCTGTGCCATCTTTCCAGCCCCTCAGCCTCAAATTTTAATATTTTAAATTTTATTTATATCTAACCTTTACCTAACAAATATTTATTAAGGTGCTGTACACTTTATCATACGTTTTAAAAATATGTCTTCTAACATCTCCTATTTTTTATTACAGCGACAGTTAAAGGCAGATGCTAAGAAAGCTATTGGAAGGCTGCAACTGCGCACACTGAAGCAAGGAGACAAGGTATTTTTATTAGTTCTAGAGCAATGCTGCCATGTCACCACTCAAGCTAAATGTTCTTCTAACTGTCTTTTCATTGGCAATTATATACCGTTTTGGTCTTAAAATTGTACTCAGTACTACAATAAGACTGTACAATTCCCCCTCCCCCAATACACTAGGTCCTAATCCCTGGAACCTGTGAATGTTATGTTATCTGGCAGAGAGAACTTTGAAGATATGGAACGTTTGAGATAGGAAGATCACCCTGGATTATTTAGATGAGTCCTAAATATAATCAGAGTCCCTATAAGCTAGAATAAGGAGATTTGACAGCTGTTCAGTAGAATAGCAATGGATTCAAAGAGGCCAGAAGGCAAGGAACATAGGAAGTCTCTAGAAGTTGGCAAAGGTAATCACAAGTATTTACCCTAAATTCTCCAGAAGGAACATAGACCTGCCAACACCTCATTTTTATGCTTCTGTCCTCCACAAAAGAAAGATAATAAACTGTAAGCCACTAAGTTGTAAAATTTAAAACAGCAATGACAGAAAAGTAATATAGTACTTCAGCATAACTTTGAATTTCCACTGTAGAATTGGGATAGTTCAAAACATATTCATGGGTATAAATATGTCATAAAAATAGCTGTATGACTTAGTAAAATAAAGATATGCCATTGTTGATACCATCAGAAGCATTAAGTACTTGGCTATAAATATTCAAAATATTTACAAGATTCTTATGTTAAAAATTCCATAGCATTAGTAGTGAAAGAAAACAAAGGGGCTGTGGTGACTATAGCTCAGTGGCATAGCTCTTGCCTAGCATCCTCAGCGCTTTGAGTTCAACCTTGATTATGAAAGAAAAAAATCAAAGAAAATCTAAGAAAATGGAGATATATTGTGTTTGTGGGTCAGAAAATTCATTGTTAAGGTGTCAGTTCATCCTGAACTAATCTATAGCATAGAAACAGTTTCAACAAAAATTTTCATGACATAGTATGTAGAAACTGACAGGTTGAATCTATGTTAATCTGGAAAAAACTAAAGAACTAGCATAAACCAAACAGTTTTGATAAAAAAGAATTTTAGAGGATGAATATGGTGGTATGCACTTTTAATCCCAGCACTCAGGAAGCTGAGGCACGATTGCAAGTTCAAGGCCAGCCTAGGCTACATAGTAAGATCTTGTCTCCAAACAGAAAAAAAGAATAACTTTGGGTATTTCACACTGATTTTCAGATTTATTTTAAGTCTGTATCTGTGGTAGTAGAGAAATGATAGACCAATAAACCAATGGAACAATAGAGAGTCCAGAAATAGATCAACAAATATATAGCCAATTTATTTTTTTTCCTAAGGAAGAATAGTTTATTTGCTTCTAAAAAGGTTTGAGAATATTTTTTTAGAAGAAGCATTTCATTACAGCTTTAGCACACTCAATAACAGTTTCCAGAGCAAAGATACATCTCTTTCAAAAGTGGTTATAAAATTTTTAGGTTTGCTGTTGAATTAATACAGTTGTACAGTATTGAACTCAGTATAAGCCCCAGGAGAGAGGCTGGTGGGTTGTGCAGGAGCAGGGAAGCAGAGGGAGGTGAGTAGCCAGTTTATTTTTGATGAAGATGCAAAGGCTCAATTCCCACATCCACATGGTGGCTAAAAACCATTCCTAATTTCAGTGGCCTCTGCTGGCACTGAACCCATGTGGTGCATTTACATATATGCATGCAAAACACTTATACACATAAAATTAAAATAAAATTTAAAAATCTTGCAAAACATTTCTGTTCTTGCCAGGCATGGTGATAAAGACCTTTAATCCTAGCACTTGAGACAGAGGCCTTTGTGAATTCAAGCCCTGTCTTATCTTCATGGTGAGTTCCAGGCAAGCTAAGGCTACATAATGAGACCTTGTCTCAAAAGAATAATAATAATAATAATAATTATTATTATTATTATTATTATATTATTATTTCTGTTCTTGAAAGACAGTGTTCAAAGAAAGAAAAGACAAGGTAAAGACTGGGAGAAAATATTTGCAAATCATATTTCTTAAAGGACTAAACTTAGAAAATAGAAAGAACGTTTGACTCAACAACAAAAATATAATTAGCCAAATAAAAATAGACATGAAAAAATGTGATATGAAAGCAGAAAAAGAGGTTATGGAGCACAATGAGGGTGCAGGGAGATGGAGAAAATATGGAGAGAAGAAGTCTTTTTGGTCTTTTTAAGACAGGGTCTCTCTGTAGCCCCAGCCGGCCTGGAACTCGCTATGCCTTGAACTCATAGAGATATGCCTGTCTCTGCCTCCCAGTGCTGAGATTATAGGCATGAACCACCACACCCAGCAGAGAGGAGAATTTTTAAAAAACTTACTTTGTTTAAAAGTGCCATAATGGAGCCAGGTGTGGTGGTGCATGCCTTTGATCCCAGCACTCGGGGGACAGAGGCAGGCAGATCTCTGTGAGATTAAGGCCAGCCTGATCTACATCGTAAGTTCCAGGCCAACTGGGGCTACAGGTAGACTCTGTCTCAAAAAACTAAAAACTAAAATAATAAAATTAATTTTAAAAAAAATTTAAGTGCCACAATGAAACCTAATACTATATGTGCTAATGAAAACTTTTAAGTAAATAAATAAATAGGGTGGTAAAACATATATTTCACTAGAGGAACATATGGATGTCGGGTTAAGATGCTTAACTTCCTTGATCTTCAGGGAAATGCAAAATTAAAACCACAGTGAGATAGAGCTACATATTCATTAGAATGGCTAAAACTAATGCAACTGAAAATGTCAAGACCTGACCAATATCTAGGGCAACTGGAATTCCTATGCATTTTCTGGTAGTAATACAAAATGATATGGGAACTTGCAGAACAGTTTAGAAGTTTCTTATGAAATTAGAAATACATCTATCACACTAGATATTTACTGTAAAGGTAGAAAGCCTCTATATTCCCATTAAAACCTGTATACATTTATTAATAATTAACCAAACTGGAAAGAAGCTGAATGCCCTTCACTTGGTGAATACATAAACTGGAATATTCTTATCATGAAATACTATTTAGCAATACAAGTGTGAGAGAGCCCTACTGCAGCCTCTGATAAAATACATGAATATCAGAGGCCTTACATTTAGTGCAAGAAATAATGCTCAAAAGCTAGATATATATGATTCCATATACGTGACAATATGTTGAGGCCTAAACTATAGGGACTGCAAATCATCAGTGATGGGCAGTAACTGGGAGTAAGAGGAAGGGTGCGTTAATGAGGGGTTATGGAGGAATTTATTGAGGATAATAGTATTCCATGACTTTTATGGTGGGAATGAGGTTAGTACATATGTCTGTCAAACTTTAAGACTGTAGACTAATTGACAAAATTTTATTCTATGTAAATTATTCTTTATTTTAATGGATAATATAGCTAAAGAACTTATATACATCTTATGAGTTCCAAAATCAGGGAAAGGAGCTTAAGTGAGGGCTGCTACACAGTTTACTTTGTTCTCTCCCCTTCTCTGTTGACCTTGTTATTTTAGCTTTTCGAAGTGTAAATAAATTGAAATCACCAGATGAAACTTCACAGCTACATAATCATATTGATAAGATGCTCCTCCTACAGGAAATTTGTGGAGTGCATGTTTATGCTGGTTTTGCATTGAAGTTTAATTTATTCTTTTCTTATTTAAGTAACAATAAATTTGCTCATAGGAAATTGGCCCTGATGGAGATAGCTGTGCTGTGTGTATTGAACTATATAAACCAAATGATTTGGTGCGCATCTTGACCTGCAAGTAAGTTTGATCTCCTTTTATATCATCAATGAAAACAGCATCCACAAAATTACTGTGATTAGGAAAAAATATTTTTAATGTTTCCATATTGATATGACACTAAAGTGGGTGTAAACTAGAAGTGTAGTATTCATAAACCAGTACAATTTCTTATCTCCATAGGAAACTAAGTATCCTAGTCAACAGAAGTGTGGTGTGTGTGTGTGTGTGTGTGTGTGTGTGTGTGTGTGTTTGTGTAAGGCAGTACTAGTACTTGTGTATTTAATTTTAAATTCATCCTGATAATCCTATTGAGAAAAATATAATCAATTTAATGAACACCTATTTGGAATTCTTGACTCTGATTTTTTTTTAGAAAGTATCCATCTCCTGAAGATTATTCTTAACACTTACTACTTAACACTTTTGCTCTCAGCTATTAAATAGTGGTATTCTTGGAGCATATTTCATTGTCTAAAGCATCAGTGCTGTGTTGAGCTCAGTATGGTATCATTCTGTCACTGACAATGAGTATTCCATTTTAGAGTTACGGAATTGACAGTTTCAACAGTGTAACATTTGAAATACTGACATATTTAAGTCAGGTAAAAACTTAGCATTTTCAAGTAATGAATACTAACAATAGTTTCTGAGGCTAGAGTAATGAGGATTTTATATTTATGGGCTCTGTACTATAAATCTCCAAAATTCGTTCTTGCTCCTTTGTATTAAGTGTATGTTTAAAATGGGGATGGGGAGATGGTCATTCAAAGGCTAGGTAAAATTAATACAGTAAATAAAATTATGTGGTAATCTTATATATGTATTCAGCAAATTGTTGTTGCTATTTCAAACCTGACGGGAAAATTATCTGTTTTCTCCTTCATTAGTCATATTTTCCATAAGACGTGTGTGGACCCGTGGCTTTTAGAACACAGGACTTGTCCCATGTGCAAGTGTGACATTCTCAAAGCTTTGGGCATTGAGGTAAACCTTGCTATACTATTTCTGTGAAGGAACTTAAGCAGTATGGCAATTATATGCCTGGGAATTCATGGAAATAATATTCTTTTTCCAGGCATGTAATGCACCAATCATATAGTTTATATCTAAAACTAGATATATTTCCTCCATAGACACAGGGACATATCATCTTGGACATACCTATTTTCCTTCTTCCTCCTCCTTCTCAAATGTACATATTTGGTCAGAGTTAGAAGTGATAGCTACATAAACTACCAATTTGTCATTTGCTTTTCTGTTTTCACTGTCATTGTTGCACAGTTACCAAATTTGCAGTTAAATGAGCATGTATACTTTGAGAATGTATAGTATTATAATTTTATATTTGGTAACTGAAAAAAATCATCAAGATAAAACAAATATCAAGCTAAATAAAATCTTCATAACTTCCAAATATAACATAGGTGAAGCAATTCTCAATTTTCCTATGGGACGGCATGATATATATTGAGTGTCTACCTTGTACCCAGGCATCATGTTTTGAGGCGAAGTTATCAGTCAAATGAACACATCCGAGGTGCAGCCCATATGTAGAAGCAATTGCTGTTGCAACTTCTGTGACTGGGGCCAGAAAGAGATTTTTGTGATCATACAAAAGGATTGTAGGCTAATGAGGTTAAGAAATAATGCTCTAATGTGTCACTTATGAAGACGTCATAATCATATGTGAATGAATTGCATGTGCTCTTGAAAGTGTTAATTTGTTCAAATGCGTTCCAAAGGTGGATGTTGAAGATGGATCGGTATCTTTACAAGTCCCTGTTTCTAATGATGCATCTAATAGTGCCTCTCCCCGTGAAGAGGATAATCGCAGCGAGACTGCATCTTCTGGATATGCTTCAGTACAAGGAGCAGATGAGCCCCCTCTGGAGGAACATGTGCAATCAGCAAGTAAGCACAGTACTGAAGGGCAGTGAGAACATCACAAATGATCCACTGTGGACCGCACATCTGCCCATATATTTCCTGCCTTTCAGTAGTTGTTCCATTTAAAAAATATTTTATTTGTTATTTTTATGTGTATGTGTGTATTGCCTGCATGTATGTAAGTGCAACCTGTGTCCTGCAATGCCTGAGGAGTTCAGAAAAGGATGTCAGATACCCTGGAACTGGAGCTACAGATGGTTATTAGCCACCATATGGGTGCTGGGAACCGAACCTGGGTCCTCTGCAAGGGCAGCCAGTGCTCTTAACCACTGAGCCATCTCTCCAGCCCCCGGTAGTTGTTTCCTTCATGCATTATGATATTTCAAGTTTTTCAAGTTAAGATGGTGCAATGAAAGATACAGCCCTGCTGTAAAATATATACAGATCCAAACGGTTTGGACATATTCAAATGTTCCTAAAAATGACATACAAGAAGAGATGGGATTATTCACAAAAGAAAGGGCTTCTTGGAAATCTTTTCTCTGGCCCATATGAATGTTGGCTCATTAACTTCTTACTGAGGTGAAAGAGAAACTTTAACTTTAGAAGCAGTTGTTTATTATGGATAAATCAGAAAGTAGGATATATGACTCCTGAAATTATAACAAAACTTGATTTACCAAAGCTAGATGTATGCCTAACTTCAGAAATCCCTCTTTTACGGATAGGAAACTCGGTTTAAGAATGGTATGTGCTGCCACCTGTTGACGTTTCAGTGAGGATGAATAAATTGTTAGAAATTAAAATTGCACTTAATACTTTCAGAATTCATGTAAATTAATATTGCAATTTAGTAATTTTATATCAATGGAGAAATTTCAGGGAATTTAGTTACCTTTTTCCCTACAAACATCAAAGCTGCATGTGTTACTTTTTTCTTTATATTCAAACATTTTTCATGGTTTGAAAGTTTTTCCTCAATCCACTTGTTGAAGGAGCCTAATGTTAGCATAAATGTAGAAGAAACTCATTGTCAAGGTGGCTCATAAACATTTCAACTTCCTCTGACATAAACATTTGCCTTCAGAAGGCTGTACAGTACTATAGATACCATTTCTGAAGATGTCCTAAACCACACAACTGTGCAAAAGCAAACTTCATGTTTCTTAAATTCTAATCTCCAGACATTTCCTTGAGTATACTCATAAGAATCTTAATTATCCATCAATTAGTTTACCTATAATAGTGAGTCATCGTCTCTTTGCCACAGATGATCTTTATTCCCACAGTGGTGTGGTAACAGAATTCAGTGAAGATAAAAGATAATTAAATTTATGCTAGGTTTTATTTATCTAAAAAATTCCATCCTACTTTATTGTGTTCTGTTCTTGTGGGTGTTAGGTGGGCAGGTGGGGAAGCAGAAGAGAATTTACAGAGTATTTGAAAAGCAAATGAAATAATGTTCCATGTTCCTCCTGTATTCTTTATGTTGATGAATGGTTAGTGACACCAACAGTGTGACCTCCGAGATGCTTTTCAAGATTCTTAGTTACCCTAGATTCTTCATCCCCTTCCTGCCTGCTTCCTGCTGATTCAGTATGCATTTTCTCAATCCTGGCCCCTTATTTCTGACCTTCCTTATATAGTTATTGTTTGAGTCACAGCTTCTCCATGACCACACAGCCACTCTTCCTTTCTCAAGAAATTAAAGAAATCCAGTCTAACTCCTGTTCTACTTTTAAGACCTACCTCTCTTCAGGAAGACTATTCACTTGTATATCTGTTTCTCCAAAATTTTTATAAATTTATTTAGTGAACTAAATTGTATTAGACAATTTTTAACTCTGGGTAATGGAAGTGTCTTATAGTCACTGTTGTCTACTCAACATCCAACACAGCCTGCTACCTAAGATATGCAAATCTCTGTTGAATGGCCACTTAGACCACATCCAATTTTGTCTATGATTTCGTATTATTGATTTGGGGATCTTGCGTATTTCTCATTGATTCTTATGATGAAAGTTGACTTTTATAACTATAAATGTAATTAGTTCACATCTGATGTTTCACATCATTAGGATAAGTTCTATTAGAATAGTAGTCTTCAAATTTAACCACCCACAGAATCACCTGGCATGAACATTTTGGAACAGGCAACCACCAGAATTCCTGATCACTGGGTTTGGAATGGGGCATGAGAATTTGCATCTCTAACAAATTCCCAGGTGGTACTGATACTCCTGGTCCAGGGACTACATTTTGAGTACTATTCAGTACGGCCCCTGGTTGTCAACCCTGGCTGTATATCAAAATCACTTGGAGAGATTTTAAAACATGGCACATAAATTGTGACTTAGAGCAATTAAATAAGAGTCCATGAAGGATGGGGCCCAATCACATGAAGTTTCCACTTAAATCTTTAAATAATTTAAGATTGACTGAGAAAATAAGTTTCAAAAACAGTACAAAGGATGTCCAGATACTCTTTGCCTAGCTTCTGCAACTGCTAACATTTTATATGGCCATATACATGTTCTGAGACAGGAAATTAACTGATGAAATATTAACTAAACTACAGGCCTTACTCAAATTTCACTAGCTGGCCCATGGATGTCCTTTTTTTGTCTTAAGATCCCATGCTTTACATAATCGTGTGTCTCTTTAATCTCCAATCTATGAGAATTCCTTAGTCTTTTTCTTTCATATTGATATTTTTGAAGATTATTTATCTGTTGCATTATACAATGTTCCTTTATTTAGGCTTGTCTGCTGTTTTGTGATAATTAAATCATTGTCCATTTCTGGTAAGAATACCAGAGAAGTGATGCTGTGTCCCAGTCAGCAGTACATATTATGAGGCACATAATGTTCTCATTACTAATGATTTTAACTTTGTTCACTTGATTAACAGTACTATTTGCCAAGTCCTTCCTTTTAAAGTTAATATTTTCCCTTTGTAATTATTAAATTTCTTTTGAAGAGACACTTGAAAACCATGCAAAATGTCTTGTTTTTCTTGTGGTTCCTTTATTGGCTAAGTTTAACAATAATTGAAACTTCCTGTTATAACTATTACTGAAGTATTTGCCAAATAGTGATTTTCTAATTTCAGCATTCTTCCCACATGTATTGACATTCAAATGTAAGAAAAAGCTATTCCTTTTACATTTTATTTGTATATTTATTTACAGTGATATGAGATCATAGATACTTCTTTAATTCTGTGTTATTTTCATGAGTTCTCCATTGCTCATATTTCCTTAAACTCAGTAATTGAAAACTTAAGTTGGGCTCTTTATTCTTTTTAAAATTGTTTAGATTTTATTATTAGTGTATATTTTGTGTTTCCCTGCATGTATGTAAGTGTACCACATGCATGCAGTGCCCACAGCATCTAGAAGAAGGTATCAGTTCCCCTGGAACTGGAGTTACAGACAATTATGAGGCACCGTGTGGGTGATGGCAGTTGAACCCGAGCCTCGTAGCCACTGAGTCCCGGGTTCTTTATTCTTTAAGTTCCTTACTTTCTGGTACTGCCATATGATTTTGGACGTGGATTGGATTTTTTCCTATAAGGGGACAGATAGTAAATATTTAGGGCATTGAATGACACATATGTCTCTCTTGCACATTCTTTTAGTGTATTTCATTGGGAGGAAGGGTTGGTATGTCTTAAAAACATTTTAAAATGTGAAAAATATTCTTAATTGTGAATTTGGCTCTGTGTGAGTTATAGCATGCTGACACTTAGGCTAGAATCTAGGTTAATCTTGTACACTCTCTGTCCTAGAATTTTTTTATTTTTTTCTTGCAGAATGATAATATCAAAGCAAGATCTGAGGACTAGACATTCTTATTACTACTGGGTTGTCATTACAGTCGACCCTTTCCAAGAACAAGGTTAATGTGGTCAGTTAGCTCTGCTGGAACACATAACAAAGCTAGAAAGTATATGTATTTACTCACCCAACTCCCCCTTTCTCCCTTTCTTTTTCTGTCTCTATCTCCCTTTCCTTGCACGTATCTGAAAAATACTGAGTTCATAACTGATATATGTGATTGTAACTACATAACACAGGGCTCATTCAAGATCACCCCTTGTCCTTACTTGGACTTCCTTTCTGTGACTGGGAAAGGAGAAAGGCTTTCCTTATCCAAAATACATTTACTTAATTGTTCAATTCTAAAAAGTATTTAAGATAGTTTCAATAAATACTATACAATCTTTTTTATTTTTAGCCTTATGATTGGAAGTTAAAAGTACTGTTTTTCAAAGTTATTTAGGCTTAAGTTTTTGTCCCCCCATCTTCTTTTTTAGGTTGGTTATATATTTCATTTATTATACAGTTAGTTTCAAAGTTCTCCAGTGATAGTAATATGCTGTCAAGTTTAAGAACTGTTATAGTTAGGAAAGAGAAAAAAGTAAAAGATGTAACTTTTTCCCTTAAGGAGGCTATATGTACCTCTTGCCCTTAAGGAGGCTACAATCTAAGTAGGAGTAAGCACATGTACATGAATAAAATGGCATAATTATAAATCAATAATACCATGTGTGAAACAATATAAGGCATGATTTTTTTTGAGACAGTGTCTACTTATATAACCCTTGCTGGCCTGGAACTCGCTATGTAGAATAGGCTGGCCTCAATGATTCCCCTTGCCTCTGTCTTCTGAATGCTGGGATTAAAGGCTAACTCATGTTTTAGGTTGGGGGGGATTTTTGAGACAGGATCTCATGCTGTACCCCAGGATCACCTGAAATTCATTATGTATATCAGGCTGGCCCTGAACTCACAGCAGTCCATTTGCTTTAGTCTCATGAGTGCTATGAATATAGGAGGGCAGCCTTCCACCTAGATTTTTTTAAAATCCTATAATATTAAAGAATAGAGAGTATAATCATCAGAGTATAATTCAAAATTCTGACTTGAAAGAAGAGTAAGGTGAAATCATCCTAAAATTGTCCCTTCTTTTTCAAGATGAAAATCTCCAGCTGGTAAACCATGAAGCAAATTCTGTGGCAGTGGATGTTGTTCCTCATGTTGACAATCCAACCTTTGAGGAAGATGAAACTCCTGATCAAGAGACTGCTGTTCGAGAAATTAAATCATAAAAAAGTCAATGTCAATAGAAAACTTGAAACTTTAGTAATAACAGGACTGCCAATCAGGGCCTAGTTTACTGTTTAAGAAATGGGTAAATGTAATTAAATAAGAATGATACTGAGAGTGCTGACATTACTAATATTATACTATAGTTAAATGACTTAAATATTTACCCTAGTAACTTTTTCCACAAACTCATTATAACATTTTTCATAGGCAAGTTTCCTCTATGTAGTGAGAGCAACATTTTTAAATATTCAAAACTGTCTACAATAGTCAGATTTTTCATGTATAACAACTTTCTTATAAAAATATGTTGCTTTTAAAATGTGGACTAGCTGTAATCACTTTCTTTTATGATAGTATCTTAATTAAAAAAACACTACTACTTTAGCTTGGGCTATGTGTGTCAGGGTTTTTCTCCAGGTGCTTATATTGATCTGGAATTGTAAAAAGCAATGCAAACTTAGGCTGTAACTTAATGAATTGTGTATTTAAACTACATTAAGTTTATAGAACAAGATTAAAGCAAAACACTTCATTTTAATTTTTTCTTTTTAAAATTAAGCCGTATGTATTTCATGTGAGTGTTGAGCATAGTTTATCAGAAAATGTGGACGAATTGGTTGATTGGTATATTAGTGACACCAATTTGACACAAGATTATAGACAAAAAAGTTTCTTACAAAACATTGTATAACTATTTCTCAAACTTTTAATATTTACAAAAGCACAGAATTAAAAAGTACCATGTTATTTGAAAATACTCATGACAGAACAAATCACACAAAATTGTTAATCTTTGTGCAGAATTACACAAAATCAAATGTTCTTCTGTAAGATCTTTTCTGAACAATGTTCACTTTGAAAATTGAGTTTACATTTGGCCTAAATGGTCTCTAATTACATTAAACTAAAATTCTGTCCATATACCTATAATTTTGTGAATGCATTTTGTTGGTGTTTGAAAAAGAATCAATGGAAGGGAGGAATTCCAGGTGCCTTAATATAAAATTTGAAGCTTCATCCACCAAAGTTAAATAGAACTACTTTTAAAATGCACTTTATTTTTATTCTGCGCAGCTTGTCTTTTAGTTTTGATTCCTGTGCAAATTCCAACAGAATTTCGACACAAATAGAATGGACATGTATTTTTGTTTGCTGAATAAAAAAATGGATGAAACCATTGCATTCTTGTACACTGATTTAAAATTGCTGTAAATATATCCTGATTTGTATCGATTCTCTTTAAATATAAAGTGTAAATAAAATATTCCAATAAAAGTTTGCATATGGTGTTTAATTTAGCTATTACATCCTTTAGAAATTGTTATTTATCTTTTTTATGTGTATAAGTGTTTGCCTGCTTATATGTATGTGCACCCATGTTCACAGAGAACAGAAGAGGGAGTCAGATCTCTTGGGACTAAAGTTATTGACAGTTGTTGGCCACCTTGTGGATGATGGTATCTGAACCCGGGTCCTCTGCAAGAGAAGCCAGTGATCTTAACTGCTAAGCCATCTCTCCAACCTCATCTGATAAGTTTTTATTATAACAATCCTAGCTTTGAGAGGAAATAATCATTGGATGTAAATGGTCATTGGTATATTTAATCAATACAAACTAAACCATTGGTGTCATATTTACATATTCCATTACACAGAAGGGGAAGATCATCACAGAACTGACCATGAATTATTTTTTGATGTCAACAAGTAAATAATGAAGTTGATCGGTAATAAAATATTAGGTTACAAAATCTTCATGTCAGTCCATATTTATATCATCAATGACATGAAGATCTTTTTTAATATTTTAAAGTTTTCTTCCAGTTTTCTCTTTGATAGTATGGTTGTTAGGATGTTGTTAATGCATCAGAACATACCATTTTCTTTGATTATACATGTGAAGAAATACAAAGATGTTTGGAACACCTCAGAACCATGATTGACAAAATCAGTGTACACATGTTGTCTTATGCAACAAATTGCCAGGAGTGTGAAGGATAATCCCTATATTTTCAAAGACTTGATTGATTTAAGTTTGGGGGGACTTTTGGGGGGAGGCATTTTTAATTTTGAAAATTAAGAAATAAAATCAAATCTGGGCATGGTGTCACAGGAGACAGAGGCAGGTGGATCTCTGTGAATTCGAAGCCAGTCTGGACTATGTAATGAGTTCTAGGCCAGTTAGTGCTGCACAGTGAGACCCTGTCTCAAAAACCCAAAAAGGGGAAAAAAGAAAATAATTATAAAAAATATTTGTGTCTGCATGTGTCTGAGTGTATAGATAGATACATGTGGCGTGGAGAGGGGTTGTATATATAGTGGCCAAAAGAGGCCATTAGATCCCTCAGAGGTGGATTTACAGGTGTTTCTGGGATGCCAGGCTTCTTACATGGGTACTGGAATTGAATTCTGGTCCTTATAATTGTGTAGCAAATGCTTTTAACTGCTGGGCCATTTCTCCAGCTCACTTTTTAGAATTGTAACAGCTATATGTAAATATAATGTACCTAACAATTTAGTCACTGTAAATGAACATCTGGGTGAATTTTAGGCAGTATGTACATTTGTGCATCTATTACACAATCCAGTTTTAGAACTTTACATTATCCAAAAACATACGCTCATGCCCATTGTTAGTCAATTCCTGTTCCATTTCCAGCCTGTGCAATCAACTGTATCCTTTCTGTGTCTATGGATTTGCCTATTCTGGACATTCATATAAATTGAACTATACAATATAGGGTCTTTTGTGACTGGATTCCCCTTAACATAATACTTTCAAGGTTCTTCCATATTATAATATACATTAAACTATCTTTTAACTAATAATAATAGCTACTGTTATTATTCAGTAAGTCCTTTTCATTGTTGATTAATATTCCATCATGTGAGTAGTTCACATTTGGTTATCCAGTCATCAGTTACTGAACATCTGGGCTAGCACATTTTTTTTTTGGCCATTGTGGATAATGCTGCCATGCATTCATATACAAATCATTCCTAAAATGTATATTTTGGATTCTCTGAAGTATATACTAAGATTAGGAATACCATGCCATTCGTGAATTTTACTTTTCCTGTTATCATTTGATATTCCTTAGATTGAGCATAACTTTATATTATATTCTCAAATAATAGTCACAATGTATGCTGAGGTTTTTTTTTTTTTTAATGTGTGTTTATGGCGTGCATGTATGTAAGTGCACCACATGCATGTAGTGCCCACAGAAGCCAGAAGAGGGCATCAGAGCCCCTGGAATTGGAGTTAGGAAGATGGTTGTCATTGTCAGCTGCCACAGGTGCTGGGAATAGAACCTAGGTCTTCTAGAGAGCAGCCAGTTGTCTTATGCACTGAACCACCTCTCTAGCCCATAGGCTATCTTTTAACAGTGGCAGTAGATAATACTTATTTGTACATCAAGTACTCACTTAAGGAATATGGGAATCTAGATGTAAGTTTACTGGAATTCAATTGTTTTATGTTAAAAAAATATTTTCTCAAGGCAAGGAAAACATTTAGAGACATTTGGAATGCTAGGCACATTCTGTTCATTTATGAAATATTTTTGTCAAAAGAATTTATTACCCAAACTAAATTTTTTAGTTTTTTACTTTGCTCATTGGTTTTGTTTGAAATATTATACCTTAAACACGATAACTAGCATAAAATTTAAAGCACTACACTGTGTAAGAATAAAAGAAATTGATTGTGGTCGTCAGTTTGACCTCCAGAGATTTTATCTTCTAACAACAAAGTTTCTTTGGTGAAAAGTGTGAGAAACACCAGCCACAAGTACTTGACATTGAGAGATAGATAGAGAGAGAGAGAGAGAGAGAGAGAGGAGGGAGAGAGAGAGAGGGGTACATGTGGGTGTGGGCATGCACAAAGACCAGAGGAGGCCATCATGCTTTGCTCTATCACTCTCCACCATATTCCCTTGAGACAGGATCTCTCACTGAATTTGGAATAAGCAGTAGCCAGAAAGCCTCTGCAATCTTCTATCCCCACCCCCATGAGCATCTCTCTCCACCCCACCACTGGGGTTACAGGTGTGTGTAGCCACTCTAGGCTTCTGATTATAAGCCGTGGCTCTGGTCCTCAACTTTTTAAATATGGAAACAATCTCATGGATGAGATACTCACAGGTATGGATGTTTGTGTTTAAGAGAAAAGTATGGAGATGTTTACAGATGGTTAGCAGCAATTTCCCCTTCTAGCTATAACTTCAACTAATAGCTCGGTTTTCAACCACTGCCCTAGAAAACAATAATAAACAGATACTGAGAGAGTCTTTTTAGAAAGAGCAGTGGGGCGTGGTGGTGCACACTTTTAAACCTAGCACTCACGAGGCAGAAGCAGAGGCAGACAGATCTCTGTGAGATCTAGGCCAGCCTGGTTTACATAGTGGTTCCAGGCTAGCTGGGGATACAGGGAGACCCCGTCTCAAAAAACAAACAAACAAACAAAACCCCAGCAATACAGCCACCTTAAACAAACAGGACTTAAGTTTTTTTTTGTTTTTTTTTTTTAAGATACTTATATGGGACATAATGGAAACATGATTAATGACCACCAATTTGTTGTAGTTTTTCAGATACCTAATTTGCTTTAAATCAATGCATCTAAAACTTTATATTCCTACAAATTACGAGATCTTGTTAAATATGCATTCTGATGGAGCATGTTTAGAGTAGGGTAAGAGATTATGAATATCTAGCCAGCTTCCAGGTGATGAGATGCTGCTGGCCTGGGATCCATACTTTGAGTAACAAAGCTTTAAATGGCTCTCCTCTAGCAGTAATATACAAGTTTTGAATATTACTGCATCCAAGACTGCTATAGATTCTAGAAAAGCAGAAAGTTAGCTAGTGCACATCATTTCAAATTTGAGGCTAATGAACTCCACAACAGCATCCTTGGCCTTTCATAGATCATTGTTTGGACTTGCTATTTGGGGTTTCCTTATGCCTTTTGTTTGTCATAGGTATATAAGGCCACTGTTTAGAACAGTTGAGTCACTCAGAAGACTGACCTCTGGCTAAGTGAGGTATTATTAACATCCATATGGTATATTACTACATTGATAACTAGGTATCTAGCTTAGGTAAATCACAAAATAAGAATGAAAGCAAATAGATGATATGGGGAGTTATTAAATACTATATCAAGAAACTGATGTGCAGCTACCCTAAACCACAATAATAGGGTGGAACAGGCTCAAAAAAAGAAGTAGTGGCATCTGTGTGTGTGTGTGTGTGTGTGTGAGAGAGAGAGAGAGAGAGAGAGAGAGAGAGAGAGAGAGAGAGAGAGAGAAGGGAGAGAGAAAATAAGCAAGAGATAGAGACTGGTGGAGGTGGGGAATCAGGAAATGAAAGAAGTCTAAGACTATTCCAAGATTTTTAGTTTAACATCTTTGTAAACAGGAATGCCCAGAACTAAGAGGATTTGGAATAAACAAGTTTGGAAGAAACCAGGAGGATTTGGGAGAAATAAGTTTGACATTGGATATGCTATGTTTATATCCATGGACCCTTTGCATAAACAAAATAGTGTTTGGGTTTGTAGTCATAAATGAGTTCAGATCCCAGCTCTGCCATTTGTTAAACTGTGAGAGTTTAGGAAAAGAAGAATTTCTCTGAACCTTCATCAATATACATGAAAAAATATATAAGCCTATTAATGAACAAGTAAATGCAAATTAGATAGAAAGATAGATGATGACAGATAGATAGATGATAGATAGATAAATAAATGATAGATAGATAGATGATAGATAGATAGATAGATAGATAGATAGATAGATGATAGCTAGATAGCCAGGATAATACCAGCAGTGATGTTCAAGACAATTTGTAATTCCAATCCTCCTTCCCTAAGCAATTGACAATAATGTACACAATTGAACCCTGAATAAAATGATATTCTATTTTTAACGTGGTTTTGGAGAAATGTTTATTTGCAAAGACTTGAAGAAGGTTATCATCAAGCCACATTTTTACATAAGACACAATTTAACTTGAAAAAATGTATAATTAATGAAATGTTTACTTACAAAAGCAAGAGCTCGCTAAGACCCTAGTCTGTCCTTAAAGTGTGCCTGAAAGAGAGAATCTGGGTAGATCTGGATAAGTTGCAGACTACTCTATCAAAAGAAGCCTCCAGGCCAGGTGTGGTGGCACGGGCCTTTAATACCAACACTTGATAGGTAGAGGTTGGCCTCTGTTAGATCTTGGACAGCCTGATCTACATAGTAAGTCCCAGGCCAGCTGGGGCTACAGGGAGTCCCTGTCTTTAAAAACAAATCCAATTTTACCAGTTCTTGCCATAATTATAACCATAAGAGTTATTGAATGACAGGTCTCTGAGGCCAGTTCATTTGCTGACCTCAGTCCAGAAAGAAGTGGAGAAGTGATGTGCCTTAATACACATCCATATTAGGATGACTTTTCACAAGGGAACCCTTCAGTCCAGGCTCTGGGAAGGTTGTCTCTTCCGTACTGTCTGGAGAGCTGCCTCGTGACCACCTATTGCCTTTTAGTAGAATAGAATCCCAGACTGTCCTGTATTTCATCCACAAGAAAAATTCTTTCTTGTAGCACATAACTGCCTCACCAGAAATGGCCCACATCCGGGAAGATTTAAGCTGCAGACACTCCCTGAAGGTAGAGAGTTCAGTGGCTCTAGGACTTGGCATCTGAGTGTGCCTCACCCCATAGTTTTAGCTATATGGCCTTAAATCTTGAATCTCAGGACACTTTGCCAAGAACTCATTTTTGTACCTTTTCTCTCAACTTGTTCCTTCCTGTAAGCCTGTTTGCACTGTCAGTGTACTCTTTAAACTCAGGGATTAAGTTATTCTAACAAATAAATACTGTACTCAAATAATTCCCCAGCAATGTCTGGCAAATTACTGACCTCTTTCACCTTAGTGTTTAACTAGTTGGGCAACACTGCCCAGATACCAAGAAATAAAGGCTGCCTACAAAAACTTTTTTTCTTAAAACAGCTTAAGAAGGAAAAAAAAAAAATACCCTCATACATAGTTTAGATACCTCAAAGATGGGCTCAATATTTTCTGTCCTTTATAACAGTAGTTAAATAAACAGAGGCAGCATGCGGGAAGGGAGAGGCTCATGGCGTGACGATGTGTGCTTTCTGAGATTTATAGGTTTCCGTTATAAGTGGAAAGAGCTTAATTTAGGTAAGAAATTTTGACAGTGAATCATAGAACCAACTGTGAGACCTTGGACAAGTGACTTCACTTGTTAGCGCTTTTCGTTTACTAAGAGGCAAAGTGAAAAGGATCTCCTCCGCAAGCTTTCCATGAGGATTACCTGGGATTACCGAATACGTGGTTGGCATTAATTAAATCTAAATTGCTGATGCTATAGCTTTCTCAATCGGCCGTTACTCAAAAATGTCGGAAACTGTTTTAAACATACTAATGCCTTTCCTATAAAAGGATGAGGAGCAGCAAATGCCTTTATACTTGAGGCTCGCTTGTCTCAAACAAACAAACAAAAAAAACGTCTTAAACTTTAGACTGGCAAAACTCACTTAACTCATGGCGGGACCGGCATCGAAGCATCCCCCACCCAATTCTTACCTCAGTGCATTGTGGGAAGTGTAGTTCCCTACTATGACCGCTAGAGTGCGGAAAAACCGGTAGAAAACTACAACTCCCAAGAGGTGACAAAACGGGACTATTTCCCAGTCTGGCGGTAGCTCCTTGGGAGGGAATTGGCAATCTTTCTGCCTACGTGGGAGAGAAGGCAGGGTTGGGGGAAGTGTAAAAACCTGAACCTGAGGCGCTGCAGCCTGGGGAAGATTTTGGTGGGAGAAGTAGAGGGGGAAAGACCTGCTGGGAGGGGAGAGGTGAGGCAGACAAATAGGTCGCTGCTCCTGGGGCGGCACAAAGTTCTTCGAGATGTGGCTGAAGCCTGAGGAAGTGCTCTTGAAAAATGCGCTGAAGCTGTGGCTGATGGAAAGGTCCAACGACTACTTTGTCCTGCAACGGCGTCGAGGCTACGGGGAGGAAGGTGGAGGGGGACTCACAGGTAAGCTGTAGCCACCTGCTGTGGGGCTGTGTTCACTGTCACTTAAAAGGTGGCGAGACAGTTACTCGTCGCCGCCCTTCGCCTTAGCCTATACCCTGAGCGAAAGACTGGGGATTCTGCCCCAGCCATCACCTTTCTGCCGCCACGAGAGTCCCAACCTGCCGCACTGGACTAACAGTTGCTTTGGGGGTCGGACCTGGGAAGGGAGAAGGGAATTCTTTCCGAAACTAATGAGAAATCAATCATTCGAGTACCTGGCGGGTTGCTTCCCCTGGGGGAGGGGGCAGTTAAACTGTTCGCCTTAGACTGCCTTTGACCGCAGGTTCGCGGATCTCAGTTGTGGACTTAACTTTTTTCAGAACCCTAACGAATGATCACCACCCTGGGGAGGAAAAATGTGTGGGGGATGGATGCTGTGAGGACGCAGGAATGGTGAGGAGAAAGGGGTGTCCTTATCAAACCATGAGAGTAAGAGGCTTCAAAGGAGACACTGAGTCTAGTCGGGGCGGGGGGCGGGGTGCTTGGTGGCAAGGAAGTCTAGGGGTTGATCTCAGAATAGCTGGCCTCTCGCAATTTTGCGTCTTTCACTTTGTTCAATCCTTGAGATCGCCTGTTCCACTACTAAGCTTACGTTTCTCTCCTTGTTGTGGCGTTGCCCCTTCTTTCAAAGATGTCATTGTACACCAAACCAATTACACCGAAGGAAATTCAACTCTTCTTTCCTTACCCATCCTTGCCACAGTTCTTAAATTTAAACGTTAAAAAGTGGTCCTTGGTCACGTGTCTGAAGTCTCCAAATAATGCAATTTTGAAATTGTCAGTCTTGGGCAGGGGCTTTCCAACTTTTGAACATTGGAGAAGAAAGCTATTTTTCATAATAAGTTCTGGTATGGCCTTGAAGTAGTGGACTGCGTTTAATTTAGGGAGAGAAATGGCGGGCGGGGAGGGGGAACATAGGGAGGGAGGAGGGAAAGTCTGAAAACCTGCACTTTTGTCTGATCTTCATCTCTTAACCTGTTGGATGACATTTATCTAATTCTTTTATGTATTCCACCATAAGACTGTACTGTATGCCACAAAAAATTAATGGCAATTGTAATTCTGCTCCTTGCCTTTAAAGTGCTGGACTAAGGGAGGAGGGTAGAAACAGGATTCCTCTAGAATCAACTGGAAAATCAGGAGAATTATAATTAGAACCAAATGACTGAAGAGTTGAGTGATCATCCATCATGGTTTAAGTGACATTGATTTTCCTCTTTGGTAAAAAATGGTATATATATTTTCTCCAGGTTCTAAAAAGACCCTTCTGGCAGTATGGGAACAAAAACTGCCCCTATAAACTTGACATTTACCTATTTTTGGTCTTTAAAAATTGTAAACATTTTTTCAGAAAGTTTCTATTTAGTTGATGTACATGTTTTCTAGACTAAAATTTAAGACTAGGTGTTCAGTACTATTCAGTCATCTAAATGATAATTCAATATAAATGTAAATTTCTTAAAGCAGGTCAATTTTACAAGTTTTTTTCTCTCTTTCTCACCGACAATTTTTATTATTTCTCTATTGCTAGAACATGAGGAAATTTTTTTGTGAAGAAATAAACCAAGATTTCTATCATGCATATATGTATGCTGTGACTAATGAATTATGGTCAATGGTATCGCATGATTGTTTTACCTGTGATATTGACAAGATGCCTGAAATTACCATATAATATCATGAAAATTAAACACAATGAATCTAAGAGGAGCATAGAGATTTTTTTTTTTAAATTTGTTTGCTTTCTTTTGGTCCAGAGCCAAAGTGTATGCTGATTTGCATGGCTGCTTAATTACTATTTTTTTTTTTTACTTAAAACTGTGAAGCCAAATGATCTATGTCCAATTTGGGTTAAACTTGGGTTAGCTTTCATTGGTGCTTGATTGTATGCCACCATAAACTTGACTTTGTTCATTTTATTTATGTTGTGTTATGTTATGTGCTACCTTTTATAAGGTTAGTTTATAGGTTTGTATAATGAAGGAATTATGACTATCTACAAATAATTATTGTAATTTAAGATTTCTTTTCTTTGCTGTGTGAAAATTGACAATAACCACCAACAATATATGACTTTAATTTAGATTTAAATCTAGTATAAATTAAAATCTATAAATCTAGTATAAATTTAGTGAAGTTAGGTGATTCAATTATTTGGGGGGGAGGGGCTAGCCTTGTTATGTAGCCCAGGCAAACCTCAAAATCACCATCCTCCTGCCTCAACCTCTAAAATGCTGGTATGATAGGCATGTACCTCCATAGTGAGCCTGGTGGACTAACTTTTCTTTTGTAATGATGGTTTTAGCAAGAGAGTTTTGACACTAGAATCATGAGATCCCTTTTCTAAATTTCTGAGATACTTCTAATGGGCAGCTGGTAGATGCGGACTATTTGTCTAACTTTGTCCTACTTAGTGATGCTGGATCACAGCAGAATAGAATTTTTCTGGAAATTTTTGTTATCCCTAAGGTTGTTTTGCAGAGAAAGTAATTTTTTGTTCATTTAGAGAACAAATTATCCTGGATTTCTATAGTTGCTTCATATTGCACTTTGCCCTCTCTTGGTTCATAAGGGTACAGACTTTTGTATTGCAGCTAAATGTAGCACCTTGTTTTATATAATTAAAATAATTTATGCATATTAAACTTATTAGGCACAAATCAGCAGTTCACTCTGCTTCGCACATGAGAGACACCACATCCACTACATCGTATTAAGTACTCTACTGAATAAGACATAGGAAGGTCTGCCAATCAGGAAGTCTTAAATTAGGTATTTTGTTGAGAGAATTTTTGTTGTGAATTTTCCCTGAAGAGTGGTAAACAAGTTCTTAGATATTGGATTTATAATTGATATTAGATTTATAATTGCCATTAGTAGATTTTTTTTATTCCATGTTGAACACAACGGTAAAATAAACATTAAAATTAAAAAATATTCTCTTTCCTTATCCCCTCTTTCCTCTTGGTACTATTACTTTGAAATTAAATAATCTGTATAAATGAGAACATGGTTATATTTGAAATGAACCCTCCATGTTATATTTCTGTTGACTTTGCAAATCACTGTAAATGATTTATCCTAAACACATATATAATAAACAAATTTTACAATTTTTAATTATCCCTTGAAACTCTTAATTCAAGGAGTCCAACTTTGAAAATGTTCATATTACATATGTATTAGCAAATACCCCAGCATTCCAGTCTCACAGAGGAATCATCTGTTAAAATGTTTGGTAACCAAAGAGTGGACATGCCATTTTGTGTTAGGTATGGAAAATCCTACTCCCCATAATATATAACTCACACTCAAACTAAATTAATAAATTATCTTTTGAACTTTTTGAAAACTTTTTATTTATTTATTTATGTATTTATTGATTGATTTATTTAATGTGTATGAGTGTTATGCCTGCATTTATATAAGTGCACCTGTGTCACGTAATGTCCCTGTTGTCCAGAAGAGAGTGTCATATTCCCTGCACCTGGAGTTACAGACAGTTGTTACCTGCCATGTTGATGCTGGGGTTTGAATCTGGGTCCTTTACAAGAGCAGCCAGTGCTATTAATCACCCTGAGCCATCTACCCATCTCTTTTTTGACTTATTTAAAAAGAAAATGCCATTCCCTGGGCTGCACAGCCACTGGCTTCCTGTTACCAACATCTTTCCTGGGTAAGTCCAGACTCCCACCTCGTCTTGATTCCCCCAGCTGCATTCACCCTCCCAGTTCCCCATTCCATCTCTCTTCCTGACCTGGGTACTGGCCCATTTCTTGTCTTGGCACCCCAGACACTAGGGCTGACCTCTTGGCCCAGAGTCCCCACTGCTTCCTGATCCTTTGCATCCACACAAACCTAGTTCCTCCCAGTAGTCCCCAGGAGTACCAAGGACCTCTTCCCAACCAAAGATCCCTTTGCATCCCTGAGTGGCACAGCCACCAGCTTCCTGAGACCAGCATCTTTTCTGGGCCCTGCTCCCAGGCTAGCCCAGCCCCCAAATTCCTGAGGGCAGCATCTTTCCTGGAAGGATCCAGACCTTATGAGAAAGCCTGAGAGCATCTGATCCTCATCTAACTTGGGCCTCTGTGGGAACTCCTGAAGACTAAAGCAATTTGGGCACTCCAATATAAAATCAACCAACAAGCTTTCCATGCCCAACAAGTAAACCACAAAGGCACATAAAGTTTACAAAAAGAAGCAGACCTAAACTCAACAAAGGAAGGCTTGAGTCTCACACAAGAATCAGAAACTACAAAAGAAATTCACATGTCAAAGTCACAGAGAAAAAAAGTAACATGAAAAACCAAAATAACATATCCCTACCGAGTACCCATAGTCCTCTGAGGAGTACAATGAGAACCCCCTAGAAAACACAGGACATGCAACTCAAAAAAACAATTATATACATGATAAAAGAATTCAGTGAATTTAAAGAACACACAAAGAAATCAAAGAACTGAAAGAAGATAGGGATAAACTTCTGAATGAATTCAGAAAAGAGTTAGAAATATTGAAGACTACTCAGGCTGAAATGAAGAAGGAAGTGAAACACTCAGTAAGCCAATTAGAAATGACAGGAGAAAGACTCACCAATGGGATGAATGAAATGGAAAACAGAATATCGAGACTGGAAGATAAAAGGGATGAATTAGACCACTCAAACAAAGATTATGAAAAATTTAAAAAACACAAGAATGGAATATGCGGAATTATGTGATGCCATAAAATGACTAAACTTACAAATCATATGTATACAGGAAGGAGAAGAATGTCAAGATAATGGTATGGACCAGATCTTCAACAGAATTGTAGAAGAAAATTTCTGAAAATTACAGAAAGACATGCCTGGGGTTGGAGAGATGGCTCAGCAGGTAAAAGCACTGTCTATTCTTGCAGAGGACCCAGGTTCAATTCCAAGCACCCACATGGTGGCTATGAACCATCCTTAACTCCATTTC